CCCCAAAACCCCAAAACCCCAAAACCCCTCAGTGTAATTATTATGAATAATTTAGATAAATCAGCAATAAATCTAATATAATATATTGCATTATCATGGACCCAAATTTTCTGACTCTTGATGATCAGATCTCTGATACAGCAAGTGATAATACTCCGACTAATTTAGCATTGGTAATTACAAGTTCAATACTGCTAGGAGTTATTGTGATCATAATGATCTTAGTATTGGTATTTTTGTGTAAAAGAAAGAATCATTAGCCATTAAAAAAAAGAAGTCCAAACTTGATAATACTTTCCTCAGTGGCAAACTTTTTTTTCTGTTTACTTATGCTTCTATAACAAATACTTTATTTCACCTGCATTGTCAGTAAAACCGATTAGGAATATAAGGATGTGATTTGTAATAATTAAGCCATATCTCATGTAAATTGTTTTATCGGACTAACATTATTGACAGTTTGCGAGCCACTCAGTGTTATCCCATACTATTTGAGATCACTGAGACTTTACGTAATATTTAGGGCATAAGATTATTACTTTAAAAATCAAAAGAAACCCAAAGCATGGTTTAATTATATCAAAGAGAGACAACTTATTAAATTGACTTTGATCATTACAGGTATTCTTCTAGCTATTTCTCTTGTCTTGTTTCTAATATATTAATTTGGGGGTAAAGAAGTAGAATTGTTTATTTATACTCCATCATATAATGTCGAAGTTTGCTATTTACATGATGATGGGCTATAAAACTGTGATAAAAGCTAATAAACCTGCTGTGATGAAATAAATAAAGCGGAGGAAAAGTTTAAGAAAAATGTTTAAGACCACTCTAATATCTCACTGACTTATGCTATTTCGTGGCACTTTATGGAATGTGTTGGCTTTCTTTACTGTATTCATAAACTGAAGAATATAAAGGATGACTTTAACATTAGACAAGAACTCTATTTGGTATTCTTTATCTGGTTTACAACAAGTTATCTAGCTACATTCTTTTTCATATTACAAATTGATTGGAAATATTTATCCTTCTTGCTAGTTCTGAGGAATTTCTCTGTTACTTTAATAACTGCTCTCAAGCCAGTATACTAAACTTACATGGGAAACTCCTATATCTTGCTACCTCCTAGTGTAGGCAGCATTGAAACCCTAGACATGGTTCTGATAATTCCAATAGCAAGTGAATATTTTTATGACTATCTGGACAAATAAGTGAATGATCCTGAAGCTCCCATATACTTTTCATTATACGCAGATCTTCGTTACTATGATAAAGCTTGCACGGAGGACAATAATGAGCAGGAAAAATATGATAAAGCCATTGAGATTAGTACTGAATATCTGAACACTGATGGTAAATTTTCACTGAATATCAATAAAGATGTCAAAAGAGCAATTGATTAAAAATTCCTAAATTTATAGCAAAATTTGAACGAATATCTATTTATAGAGTTATTAGCATATGTTTTAGACAAATTACGAGGTCACTTCGAATAGTTCAAGAGATCAACAGACTTTAATTAGTTGGAGGAAGAAATACTCAGATAAGAAAAACTATATGAAGTGCTAGTTGATGCAAGTATTATCACAAATTGATTAATTATATTAATTCTATGATTGTTTAATGATTTGTAAAGTTAATTATAATTTCTATTTGTTAAAAAAATAAACCTTATCATCTGACCGTTTATAAATGTAGAATAAAACCTCAACAAACATCGTGGCTAATAAAATACTGTCGGCAGCTTATAACATTTGTAAGTTCTTATTCCTTGTTTATCATGTGTTTTTTAATAGAGGGTGCTGAGTATACTATATAAAATAATGGAAGGAAGAGTGTTACTTAAGGGGGCTACATAGATCTACCATCTCCATCCAGAACCAATGAAAATAGCACCACAACTATAGTTAATACCACCAATTCAACTTCAATATCAACAAAATATCACTAATCGTAAGTAAAATTGCAACAGATGGCGAATGCCTACTCTAGGCAGACCATGAGTAATAACAAAACTGGATATGCTGGTAATTCTTAGTCAAATTCATTCAGCAAAGCTGAAGTGATACTGCCCACAGCAATCTCAATATCCCCTAGAACTAAAAGGAAGAGCTCAATGAAAGCCTGTACAGCTAAAGAATAAGACTAAATTAAGAAAATAGCATACTCATCTTATTCCAAAAACAACAAGACTGGAATTTCTGCTGGAACAGGGCCCACTTATTCATCCCTTAACTAAAATAAATTTCAGCAAGTCTTAAGCAGTGCTGCTAATGTAGGAAGAGCTTCTCAAAATTTAAAATAATCAATCGATAAAAAAACTTAGCTTTTCCCAACCTCTAACAATGCCAAGGTTAGACCTGATTTAGCAACCCCTAAGAAAATCCTTGAGACTCAAATCAATGCTAATAACACCATGAAGATTGGATCATAAACCACCAAAAATTCAGATCTAAAGTATCACAAGAAGAACACCTCTTAAGGACATTATTAATCTAAGCCAGCTATTTTTACATAAAAACAAAGGACTGTTAGAGATTCATTTGCTCATAAGAATCTGGATATGTATCTTAAACAAAAATATCAAAATAATAATTTACAAACAAAGGATGAGGAATCAAGGAATAAGAACAATAACCCAAATGAAAATCAACCCCACTAAGATCAAAGCTTCGATAATTTAGTAAACTCGTTTATCCAAGCCAAAAATCTTAAAAGTAAGAGAGGCTCTGGCAGGAACAGTGCTCTCAAAAGAACTAATACGACTAAAGTCTTAAATCAATCCAAGTCAAAGCCAAGTGGTGCCAAAACGGATCATTATAACTTGACGAAAAGACTCTCTTATAATCATAACTTTAAACCAGCAACAGCGTATAAAACTAAGGGAAATAAACATATCCCAAAGACCAATTAATCTTTTACCAAATTTACAATCGATTTCAGAAAGTATCAGCACCATAATGAACATGGCTCAAATGATGTCAGTGACTTAAATACAATGCCTGATTTTCCAACTAACAGTCCTATGAATGTAGGATATGGAAGCAATAATTTTTCGGCCAAAAAGATTGGAGACTACTAAAGATAAAAATCAAGATCTTCTTAGAGGATGAATAGGTAGCTTTCGTTTGATTTGCTTAAAAGATCGCCTTCAAGAGTTTCAAACCAATCTAGCATAAAAAAGCTTAAAAATTCAGCTTCATCAAATACTATTTAAAATTCCTATAATAAAAGAGCTAAGGTAGGACCATTGAATGCTTCAATAGTCTCTACTGGAGTTTTTGAGTATAATAATACTTAGGTTATCAAGAACATGCAGAAATATTGCAACGGTGATAATGGAGACTAATAAGAAGTGGTTTATAATGATGCCTTAAATCAAGATGAGATATATGGATAAGTTACACTTCAAGATCATATGATTGGGTCACCGTTAAGATAATCTTTAGATAAAGCTTAATAGTATGTTGGTCCCTTTAAAACACTTAAATCTTCTAATCAAAGCTCAATCAATGTGAACTAATTGCTAGAAAAAAAGTAAAAAATGCTAATGAGTAGAAGTAAGAGCCCAAGAAAAGCAGGCCATCATCAATTAAACGATATTAGTAACCCGGAATCAATGAGTAACTATTCGAGTCAAGGCAAACAGAGATGCAGAACTGCAATCAATATGAATTCCGACCACAAAAATAAACTAGAGAGCTTCACTCAGTATATTGAATAAGGTAAGTTTAATAAATAGCATAGATTAATAACTATAGTTAAACAAGGCAGAGAGGAAAGGTCACTCTCTAAAAAAAGAGCTGAAAGCAGATCACTGTCGAAGAAAAGGGATTCAAATGCGCAGTCAAGAACAAGCTTTGCACATAGACCTAGCAACTAGCATGAATACAATACTTAGTCAGGCAAGAATCTCAATCACATTCCTATCTCCATTAAGCATCAGAATTTAATAAAAAAGCAAATTAACTTGCAGCCTGTTCTTCCTTCAGATCAAAATGTGCTAGCATCAGAGTTTGGAGCATTTAATATAACTTCCATAGGAGAGTACAAACTCGGCAAGGTTCTAGGCCAAGGTGCGTATGCAGTAGTGAAAGAGGGAGTGCACAAGACTCTAGGTTCATCCCTAGCAATTAAAGTCTATGATAAATATAAATTGATTGATGCTTAAAGAAAGCGAAGTGTTATAAGAGAGATAAAAATTCTCAAGAAAATGTAGCATGATAATATTGTCACACTTTTCGATGCCATTGACACTCAGAGGCAGTTATACCTCGTGATGGAGAATGTAGAGGGCATGAGCATGCAGTAAATGCTGAAGATGCAGCCTAACCGTCGAGTTAGCGAGGAGGAAGGAGCAAGAATGTTCATGCAGTTGATCAGTGCCATGGAATTCATTCATAATTAGGATGTAGCTCACAGAGATATCAAATTAGAAAATATTCTCATTGAAAATAATACCAAAAAGGTTAAACTGATTGACTTTGGCTTCTGCTGCCAAGCAAAGGAGAGGTTAAGGGTTTTTTGCGGTACTCCATCTTACATGTCCCCAGAGATTGTCTAAAAAATAGAGTACTACGGTCCTCCCTCAGATATTTGGGCATGCGGAGTCCTACTCTATGTCTTGCTCTGTGGCACTTTCCCATTTAAAAGTGCTTTTGAAAAAGATCTGTTTAGGAAAATATCTAAAGGGCAGTATACATTCCAAGGAATGCCAGAGTTTAGTGATGAGGCGATGGATTTAATATCTTAGATATTACAAGTTGACCCTTATAAGAGGCCCACAGCAACCTAGATCTTAGAACATGATTGGTTTGCTAGATAAGGGGTCATTTGCAAGCCAGTTTACCAAATTGAAATCAACAACTCCTTAGTTACATCTGGAGAGGATGTTATCTAGCATTAGGATGATAGTAGCTTAGGAGGCTGTGGTGGTATTAAGCCTTATCATGAAGTAAAAGATGACTTGAAGAATCGTAAAACTATGAGCACCAGCAGTGGTGATGTACTATCTATAGGCAATGAGGGATACAACAACGAGACAAATTCAACTATAGATAGAGTATAATTAAAGATTGTAAAAGACCGAAACCAAAATTCTAACAATGTAATAGACATGACTAAGGATAATAGTAGGAAACCTATCTTAAATTCTAGAGCTAAAGTTAATGTTATAATGATTGACTGTTGATAATTATAGTCATATATTATAAGTAATTAACATTTTTAAGATTTAAATTCAATCTTTATTCAGGGGTTTTGGGGTTTTGGGGTTTTGGGG